GGGGATGGCTGATTGATCAGGGTACCTCTAAACGAATCTGAGGCCCTGTACCGGACCAAAAAAATGCTACCTTCAGAACCTTCTGTACGCGGCTTGGAACCTTCCAAAATTGCCTGCAGAACGCAACCATTGTAAACCGCTGTACAAAATACCAATGACTACGAGCTTGGGCCTTTGGCTTGTAGTGTTTCTCTGTGCTCAATGCCGCTCCACGATCCCCCTTCGCTCCATTCTTGCGCAAATTCTTGACACATTGTAACATATGAGGCCAGCCATTTGCAGCGCCACACCTATAAAGAACAGTGTGTTCAAATCAATAAGCAAGGAATGGGGGGAAATGGCAATAACAAATTGGACGTAAGCAAAACTTGGAAGCAAAGTTGGAATGGGAAGGGTGTGGCAGGAGAATGTAATAACCAATATCAGGCATCAAAAGAGGCCAGCAGTTGCCAGCCTTCTTCTCCTCCTCTCCCTCCATTCCTTTAAAAGAATACAGCACTGAGTCACAAATTGGTCCAAACATGTTCTTCTCCATGCCTGCATGCACCAGCATAGAAAGATGAGAAATAGTTGTGATTAGTTGCACAACGTGCATGATGGTCGTTACATACAGTCTTGTGTGTGCCGGTACAAGGTACAAGACATCAAGCATGGCACATCCAGACCAGACGTTCATTGCATGATGTGCATGCATAAGCACATGACGGCACGTTGCATGATGCTCACACATAAGCACATGCTGGTGTGCGCCCCCGTAACATCCATACATACAGAGTGGCTGAGGAGCGAGAGAGCGAGAAGGGGAGAGAAAGGGCGTGTGTGAGTGTGTGAGAGAGAGGGGGGGGACAGGGGAGAGAGGGATTCATCCCCTTACCTCACCATCCCCTTACCTCACAATCCCTTACCTCACAATCCCCTTACCTCACAATCCCCTTACCTCACAATCCCTTACCTCACAATCCCTTACCTCACAATCCCTTACCTCACAATCCCTTACCTCACAATCCCTTACCTCACAATCCCTCACCTCACAATCCCTTACCTCACAATCCCCTTACCTCATAATCCCACGATCCATGGAGATCAGGGTCCTCCACATTCCCCCACACATACACAAACGCCTTGGTCTCTTCCTCCCGTTGCGCCTCCCTCCCTGCTGCCAACCCTTGCACGGAGACCAGATGACGCACGTACTCAACGTCCTCAAAGGCGTCGAAGAGGTCCATCTCGGGGGGGGAGAGGTTGAAGAGGAGCTGAGGGGAGGGGTGGAGTGTTTTGGGAAGAGGAGTTGGTGGGTAATCAAGATTATACGGTTGAGCAGTGCACGTGCTCAACATCCTCTAAGGCGTCGAAGAGGGGGTCCATCTCGGGGGGGGAGAGGTTGAAGAGGAGCTGAGAAGGGGGGGGAGAGAAGAAGAGGGGGTTGAGGAGAGCAGTAAATGCGGAGGTACGGAGGTTGAGAGGATGAGGAGGACGCACGTACTCGGCCTCCTCAAAGGCGTAGAAGAGGTCCGTCTCAGGGGGGGAGAGGTTGAAGAGGAGCTGGAGAAAGGGGGGGAGTGGTGGTGGTGTGGGGGGGGAGAAAGGTAAGCATACGAGTGATGATGGTACGCAGATTGAATGGTCCTCGATGTCCTCAAACGCGTCCAAGAGCTCCATCTCGGTTGGTTAGAGGTTGAAGAGGAGCTGGGGGGTGGGGGGGTAGGGGTGGAGAGGTGGGGCGTGGGAGCATGGGGAGCAATGGAAAGGAGCTGGAGCACTCCACATACCCCGCATCCTCAAATGAGGCGAGACGAAGTGAATCAACGAACAACAAGACAGGGCACCACTTTGAAATGACTGCCACCCCTTCAAATTGAAATGATAGGGTACCATCCAATGTTTTCTCCCAACCACCGTCAACCCTTGCCAACCCCCCACCACCCCTCCTCCCCCACCTCCCCCTCCCCTCCCTCTTCCACCTCGCCTTCCCTGACATGGAGTCGTCTGCTTTTGACATGACTGCCACCCCTTAATACTGTCCTGCACCTCCCTGAACCCCACTGTTCTCTCCTCAACCATCGCCAACCCCCCCTCTCTCCCCCCCGTCCCCCCCCCCCCCTCTTCCTCCTCACCTTCCCCAACACGGAGTCGTCTGCTTTCGGAATGATTGCAGGGTACTGCCGCCCCTTGATGCTGTGGCGAGTGCTGGAAAAGGGGGAGGTGGGAGGGAGGGGGGGGAGCGAGGGGAGGGGAGAGGGGGGGGAAGTGAGGAGAGGAATGGCTGAAGAGTGCAGCCGTCCGCCATCAGCCGTCCGCCATCAGCGTGGCGCTGGACGTATGGAGGGCGGAGGGGCAGCAAACAGGTGCGTGGAGCAAACAGGCGCGTGGAGCAAACAGGGGGCAGCAAGGCTGGGAAGGAAAACTACTCACAAGTTTGGTAGGCGGGCGGGGGCCGAAGCGGGAACTCTGTCCAGCAGCGCGTGCAGCACCTCGTCGGCCATTAGCGTGCCGTACACGAAGACCGGCGTGGATGCCGCCGTGGATGCCGCCGCAGATGCCGCCACTGCCGCCGCCATAGCTCACCGGGTTGCTCACTAGGCGGAATATTGCGACGAATGCGGTGTTCGTACGACGTGCCGCAATTGGAGGCTGAGAATTCCCGCCTTTAACGAAGCAGTTCACCTCATCAGAAGCCGCGATTGCTTGACCATAGACCCCTGTTATTCAACTGCCAGCTTCGGCCCAAGCAAAGCACGGCTACTGCAGGATGATGATGCGCGGCTGAAGGGCCTCTAAGCGTCTATCCAACTCAATGAGCTATGGCGAGGCGAGGCTGAAGTAAGAGTTGGTAGCGGTTGTTGATTCACAGCAGCAGAAATGCTCGATGGTTGGTTGTTGTGACTTCGGCGAATGGCGAAAATGCTAAATCGGAATTTGCTAGCTTGAAATTCCAATTTCCGCGTGCCCCTTGGGATTGTTTAGGCGGGAACTTCCTGGATAGGAGTAAATTGTTGACGTGGCCTTGAAGGAACGCCACATCACGGCCAGCGCACCAGGAAATTTAGCCAATCGAATGCCCCAGCTGATGCAAGAATACTGTATCGAGGATTCACCAGCGCCTATTGGTGTAACAGGAGTTAAACATGGATATTGCTTCGCATTCAGAACTTCTGTGCTGTATGGAAACGGGATTGCTGTTAAGAAGTAAAAGGCGAGTCAACTTTCGTCAGCAAGGTGAAGGGGTGGTGCTGGTCAGCTTCTCGTGGAGTCGCAGCTTCGCGCCACCTCAGACACGAGAGGCGTTACAAATCATTGATTGGAGGCGATTGCTATTCAAACGGGCGTGATTAATGAGTTTGACGGACTGTTTCAGTGAACGGGCAGAACGAAACCTCCGACACAACGAAACGTACCGTGTCTTCAAAACGAACTGGTTGGATATCCCGTGCCTTCAAAGAGTTTCGGGGTTCTCTGCTGTGGCTTTTTACCACCTTTTCTCCGCATGCTTCTGAACCCCCGTTCGAAGTCGTTTGAAGGTTCACGTCAGTGTCGTGCTCGTGGGCAACAATCATGCTTAGAAATCCAGTTTTGTTGCCACGTGGGCAGCAATTCTGGTGTGGTTCACACGTCACACATCCTGCCCATCATCGTTTTCGTAACGCTCGCGACTGAGGTTGTTGCGTCAGTCCAAGGTTGGGACACTCAGCCAGCTGGCTTGGTTGCCAAAGCAGACCGAAGCCGGCCGCCCCTTTTGGTTTTATTCGTCCCGCTGATTGGTTGATTGCACTTTGGTAGGCGTCAGGTGAATTTCAAGAGATAAATCCATCCCGTTGGTGCCCGATTTCGTCTCGAAATCCACGGCCAGAATTTTCTACCAAAGTGGTCAGCATTTGACCGCGGCGTGCGCAACATTCCCCGTTCCTAGTCGCTCATGTTGGCCACAGAAATTGGGTTGGCGCAGAGGAGATTGGCGGAATTGCGCGGCTCCGCGAAACCGCGTCCTCAATTAACATTTTCTACCCGTTTTGCTCACGGCCCGGGCAACCCCGATCTCGGATAAATATTTTCTGCACGCGAGTCGGGAAATGCGAAAGTTACGGAATTTGAAATTGTGTGAACTGTATTTGGGATTTAGTGATTGCCCGTGAATTACCAGCCAACTGGACAGTCATCCGTAACAGTACCGCCACACTTCAACAGTGTTGCAAGGGGGAGATACGATTCCTACTCAGAAGGGCGCTGGCGTGGCACTGTGGAATCTGGGCAGATGCAAACGAGATTTACGCGAGAAAACACGATAGTTCATGGATTCTCCTGAAGACTCATGCCCCAAAGCTCAACTTCCGCCACTAGCTAAACTCCACGCGAACTTTGACAGCCCTGTCATAATTTCGGGCCATCATTTCGGGCAAGGGAAACATGAGAGTTTGTGCACCACCATGAGAACTCACGAGAACACATGCACCGTAACCTCAATTCGCGCCACTACCATAAATGTACAGCTACGTCATCATGTACCGTCTAGAATTTGAACCAAGTGACGAACACTGCATCCTGCCAAATGGCCTTTGAATCCATGTGCAGAAATGTACGTCTTGTTTCAGCGGAATCGATACAGACAGGCGACAACCTCCCCGCCAGGTCCTTTACAACTCTCAACTGTTAGAAACGCGGAAGGCGAAAAACGGTCGAAGCTGCCCAAAAGACCTCACGTAATCAAAAACGCATTTCCCGACTCGCGCGTAGAAAATGTTTATCCGAGATCGGGGTTGCCCGGGCCGTGAGCAAAACGGATAGAAAATGTTAATTGAGGACGCGGTCTCGCAGAGCCGCGCAATTCCGCCGAGGAGATTGTTGGTGCGTCAGAAATTGTGGTGGAAAACCAGCGGGGATTTTTGCAAAAGCTGAGCAAGCTGCTGCTGAGCTGAGGCAAGGAGAGAAACCAGAGCTGGGGGGGAAGTTGCTGCAAGAGGGACATCTTACCTTCCGTGATTGTCTCAGGTGTACGGATGACGTACATTTTGGTTTCGCGTATCAGGAGAATGTCATAAGCAGAGAGCAGCAGCTCTCTGTGATTCAAGATTCGAGACGGTAGCGCCAGCCTCCGTCTGCCGTGCCCCAAGAAATGCGCCATAGCACGCGGCTGATCCCTCGTCAACGCACTCCGTGTTCGGTGTTCAGTAAGAAATCCCACTCACGCTGCTCAGATCCCCTTTCTCCTCAGTGTAACGTTACTCACGTTTCGCCTCCCGCCTTTTCTCACAGAGCCTCTAACACCCGCGCCGTAGATTTCCCGATCTCCTTAGTCCCGACAAACAATGGCGTTAGTAAAGGAACGTGACAGAGGATCCATTAGCGCGCGATTTCCCTCAGCAAACGACAAAACCCCTGCCCTATCGACATTGCACACAAGCAGCTACAGCAGCAGCCGCAATTCGCGGAGCATCAGCACGGGCCGGAACGCCATCGGCACAAGCGCCCGCTACAGTCGCTACACCAGCGCTGCGGAGAATGCCGAGCCGCATCCGCTCGATAGGCCCAGGTCGGGCCCGCTCGATTCGGCGCATGACCTCTTCGCCGAGTCGCGAGAGCAAGCCCGGTCCCGGCCCAACACCAGCGGAGAATGCGGCGCGGGCTCCGGCTCCCGCATACGCGGCGGAATGTACGGAAAAAGCCGCGGCGTGGCCTCAGCGGCGGGGGCGGAATGTAGCGGCGGAGATGATGCTGGAGCCGGCGGCGGCGGCGGCGGCTCCTTGCTCCATCGGCGCCACCTTTTCCGCCATAACTCGGCGGCGTTCATCCGGACGCCGCCGCGAGCCGTCGGATTCTCGCCGTCCCACTCATCCAACGGCTCCCCGTGCCCCTCGCCATCCCCGACGGGCTCCGCCCTCGCGGCGCCCTCCCCCACGGGCCGCTCGCTTCTCCAACGGCTGCGGGGGAAAAGCGAGTCGCCGGGTGCGGCGCGTAGTTCATCCGCGAGGATCGCGAGCGGCTCTGCGACATCGGCGACATCTTCCGGCGGCGTGATTCGCAGCCTGAGCGGCGACGCACTCTCGGCGGACCAGGCGGCGGCATTCTCGGTGGCAGACTCGCGGTTCGACAGGGTGAGAAGCGGGCGACGGATGCAGATGACGATGAGCGTCGCGAGCGGGGGTGCTACTAGCGGGGGGGCTAGCGGGGGGCTAGCGGTGGGAGCAGCGGGAGCTTCCCCAGAGTCGCTGGCGTCGCTAGAAACGTCGCGAGCGTCGTTAGCGTCTCAAGCATCGCAAGCCTCGCGAGCCTAGGTGGCAGCAGCGACTTCAGCTCGACCAGTCGAAGCACTTTTGGCGACGCTGGGAGCGGCGATTTCAGTCGCAGCGTCGCCATCAGTCGCAGCAGCAGCAACAGCAGCCTAACGACCAGCGTCAGCGTCGCGAGCTCCAGTACTAACGCGGCGAGCTACAGTAACGCCGGGAGCTACAGTAACGTCAGTAGCAGCATGGCAGGTGGGATTTCGAAGTTTAAGAGGGGCGGCGGCAGCTTCAGCGGCGGAAGCCTCATGACGCAAACAGACGCGGCGAAACCGCGTGTGACACAAACGGGAGCGAGCCCGGCTCGGCAGGGCCTGAGCCTCAGGGACGTGGGTCGGCAGCAGCCGATGCGGAGAGTTAGCTCCGGCGTTCTCCCGTCGAACCTGGGCTGCTCGAACGGAGGCTCGGCGAATGCTCGCGGTCAGTCCAAGTGCCCGAGATCCCATTCGCTAACCACTAATATCGCTAGAACCCCAAGTGCCCACGTCCCAACTAACGCGCGCAGCATTGGCGGATGTGACTCAGGACGCCTTGTCCGGAATAGGCATGACAGGGGGAGTGTATGTGAACGTTGGGCGAAAGACGCGGAGGGGGAGGGGGAGGAGGAGGGGAAGTGCGCGGAAGAGTGTGCGGAGGAGCATGGGGCAGAAAGTGTGGCGGAGGGGGAAGGGGAGGGGAATGGGGAGGAGTGGGAAACGGATATTGGGGTTGGTAGTACAGTGGACGGCGACTGGTGGGGCGATCTTGAGGAGTTTGCTGACGTGGAATGCGCCAACTGGGACAACATTTCTGACATCTGTCAAGCCAAGGACGCCATGGGCGTCCAACTGCTGCTTGTGGAGATCCGAGATGCTGACGTCACTCGAGCTGATGCTGACGACATGCAAGAGGAGGATCCGAAGCAGCAGCAACAGCAAGGGAGAGCGCGAGTTATGTACCATATGACTTTCTCTGACCATCCCTCCTTGTCCACATCTCCTCCTCCTCCTGCCCCTTCCAAGGACCCAGCAGAGGCCTCATCTTCCCTTGCTGAGTCAGCAACTGACGCAACTGACTCAAGCTCAGGTGCTGTTTGTAATAGTAACAGCGGCAACAGTGGCAGGATTGTTACCAGCGATGTAAATACTCCCCCTGCTGCTGCAACCAACAAGCCTGCCTGGAACACCATCCCAACAATTGCCGCCGGTGCTACTGATCTCACTGCCGCCACTGGTGCTCCTGCTGCCTCCCCTGCTTCCACTTCCGTACGCAGAACCACACTTCCCAGCACCGCCCTTCCCAGAGCACCGCTCCCAATAAAGATCGCCCATTTGCGAAACCGGCACCCGCACATTGACGTCCCGACCCTGCAATCCCCTGGCTTCTCCTCCCCCTCTCAGTTCAGATCCCCCAACTGCACTCGCTTCGACTCGCCTTCAAAATTCGATTCCCTTACGAGATTTGATTCTCCTTCCAAGTTTGACTCGCCTTCCAGATTTGATTCCCCTTCCAGATTCCATTCGCCGAACCGAAGGCCACCACCATCACACACTCCTACATCTACCACAGCCTCTCCATCCAAATACCGCAGTGGCAGTCACCACACCTCCACCACACCATCATCATCATCGTCATCATCCCCATCACCTTGCTACTCCTCCTCCCCCTCCTCCATCTCCTCCCCTACTGCAGCCTTGCTGCGCTTCCAGTCTGCGCTCTTCTCCAACTCCCCCTGCTCGCCTCTCTCCTCCTGCTGGTCCTCCTCCTCCCCTGGCAACTCCCCTAGGGAATCCCAAGACCCCGAGGAATGTCAAGACCCTCAGGAATCCCAAGACGCTAGGGAATGCTGTGATCCTAGGGAATACCCTGGTCTGGATTACCCTGGGTTGTCCCCTGCAACCCCTGGAAAGAGCTTGAGAGCTTTCCAGAGAAGTGAGAGGGGGAATCTTGAAGGTGGAGCGTGTGCCGCAGCAGCCTCGGAACTCCCCTCTCCTGCTTTTGCTGCTGTGGCTTCAGCAACACCTACACTAGGAGGCCCTCCATCCCCGTTATTGGCTGCCTCTGTGTTTAATGGTGGGTCGCCGCAAGCATCTTCACCTTCCAAACTGCGACTAAGTGCCAGTGGGAGTGGATTGGGAAGCGGAGGGTCCATGCTGGCGCCATCTAGGTTTAGAGAAGGACAAAGGCGAGCGGATTCCGAGTTCCCCACTGCTGATTCGCTGTCTACCATAAAGGTTGGGCCTGCTGCTTCGGTAGGACGGGTGGTGGCAGGGAGGGGAGATCTCAAGTTGAGTCCAACAACGCAGGAGGTGATCTCAGGCAGGGAGAAACATGGTGAGGTGACGAGCAATAAGACGGACACCACCACGCAAGTAGAGGTAGCGGGAATCGGGGAGTTAGTGGAGGGGGCTACAAGGGGATCCCCTAAAAAGACCTGGCGTCGTCTTGTGAAGGCGGTGTTGCATCGACAATTACCGCTAACATCATGAAGTTTGATGCGAACGCATAGATAACGAGTCGTGTGGTATTGGTGTACATGATTTTAGTGTATATTTTTGTACTATATGTACCATATTTGTTGTGCTGAAGTTGAGAGCAAAATGCGTGTTGGACCTAATTTCGAATACAACGAATCCTCTTACATAGCCGTTGCTAATCGAAAGGTTTTCAAGAGTTTGCTTGCAAACGCAGTCGTCTGCAACGGAAAGCTTACGTGGCGTCGGTGACAGTTGGGTCTTCTCGGGCCCGATATTTGAAGGGCGCCTGTTGGGGTAATCGAATCAATCAGTCAATCCCTGCCACAAGTGTCCCTCGTTACAAATGCCACCAGCTCGTTGCAGTGACCCCTAAGATAATGTGCCGTGAGGTGGAAAATCTATCACGGTCGCTCCGACCACACGAAGCACTGCCAGATGGCAGGAAACCAAGGCGTGCGTGTGAATCCAAACCTGACTTCCGAACGAATCCGAAGCGTAAGGTCGTTAAACCGTTTTAAAATCTGAATAAACCACACCGTAACGCACGGTGACGAGAAGAATTGCTGTTGTACTTTTCTTTCTCCTCCCACCAGCCAACCAACCGTACTTTCTCCTTCAGACCAGACCAACAACACTCCACCGTCCGATTCCATCAATCCGCCTTCCGATTCGAGCAGACACCCTCCACTCCATAACTCCACCTGTTCCACGTTCATCCCTTCATCAACCAGCACTGTCCCTCCCAGTCTCCCAGCCTCCCTTCCACAGACGACCAACACCCCTTCATCCCCCAGTGGGCGACCCTCGCGGCCAAAGTTGCCTCACCTTTCGCGCATAGCACGCGCCGGAGTTGCTCTTTCCGGCCATTCTCGTATCTTTATCCAAGCTCCTGAAGCGATAGCAAGGCTATTCTCCAATGGCAGAACAAGCTCCATCGGCGGACGCCACGAACGAACCAGTCGCAGCTGCTGCCGACCCCTCGTTGCACAAGCATTCGTCGCACAAGCATTCATCGCAGAAAGAAATCCTCTCGGAGCTCCTCTCCATCGCCGACATTCCCGTTGCGTCGCACAAGCCGTCGTCGTCGTCGTCGCACCACCATTCGCGTCACCATGCGACGCCCACGACCGTCGTCGACCCAATGCACATCAAGGTGGCGGCGAGCACCTCAAGGCCGCGCGACAGCACCAGATAATCGAAGAAGATGCCTCAGGTTCTGCGACGGGCTCGTCTCCCCCGAAGCAAAGAATTCGCAATCGAATCGCTGCGAGTGCAAACGCGAACGCTTCGCTGGACAGCTTTTTGACGACACCAGGCGACAACTCGCAGAGTGGTAACCAGACTGCTGGCGACGGGTCCGTTTCGGCTAACGCGAACGAAGGCAGCGGGGTTGCGAGTGTGTCGGGGTTAGAGGAGATGTTTCCGTCGTACTCTGGCCACGCGAAAGCCAATGCAGTTTACCGAGACTGTTGCAAATGTCGCGGAGTTGAAGATAAAAGACGCATCGACCTCGGGGAAAAACGACGAAGGAGAGACAAGGGAAAGCAATGTCGGTTCGGAAGATGCACAGCCTTCTGCTTCGGCAGTAGCGGATACCACGCCTCAGCCTCGAGGTTCGGCAGCAGCTTCGGTGAATGTTGAGACCTCGGAAGTTCTTGCCGCGATTCGCCTTTGGGGCGCGAACACAGGAGCGGCAAACGCGGCAAGGAATGCGGACTCGGCGTTTTTGCAGCCATACCAAGGTAGCAGTTACAGCAGTTACGTGGATGACCACAGAACTTCGCCGAGTGTTGCGCGGGAGGCTCGTGCTCGCGAAGAGTTGGCGAAACTGGAAAGGTCGCGCTCGAAAAGTTACCCTGAGTTGGGCAGAACTCGACAAAGCGGCAACAGTGCCGAAAATTAAGGCGCTTGGGGGAATGCGGTCAGGGGAGAAATCGAAGGACGCGGCTATGGATAAGCTCGGAATTGGACAGGAGGATTCGGAATATGCAGGTAAGCTTTTACACTTACAGGAACGAAGATGGTTTGACAGTATTTACAGGTGAAGTTAAATAACACTATGAGTTCATCAATGATTTAAGATCCCACTGGGGACTCTCTTTTCCTGCACCTTTTTTCCTCTATGTTTCCCCCCACTGGCTGCTGACGTCCCGCCACTCCACTACATGTTGCCCTGCTTGAATGGTAACCTGTTCCTGCAACAGATACCGAGTACTTTGGCTGGCTCTTGTCCGGAGGGTCCAAATTCGCGAAGCCTTCGAACACGAGGCAAGGTCAGGAGCAGCCCCCCCCGAGCCAGTAACGGATCCTGGGCCTTGTAATGTCCCTCTCCCACCGCCTTGTGTGCACTGCATTGTTGCCTTCATCGTTGCGTTTTATAGTTGCACTTAGTGGGAAGCGTACTCGGCATTTTGAAACAACCTTGCCAATAAATGTGTGTGAGGAGAGGAGAGGACACACACACTTTCTCCAACACCTGAGTCTGTTTTGCCTGCTCCCTGGATCTGTTCTTCTCAGACTGCCCTTTCTCCCCTTGCAAAACGTCTCTTGATTCCTGTGCTGTGCCCTGTCACCAGATCTGAAGGGCCAGAGCCACGAGGTTGAAAACGCCAGCATCAGTCAGACCACTTGATAGTAGTCCCGAAGGTGTTCAAGAGGCGTCAGACGAGAATCCCCCCAGCTCACACCCAGTCAGCACACGCACCAAATCCAATCTCAATCCCGAGACCAAATGCCCAGATGAATCTCCCTTCCTACCCTCAGCATCCACCACCTGCGAACCCTGCCAACACAGCAGTAACAGCAGCAGCAGCAACAGCAGCAGCAGCAGCAGCAGCAGCAGCGGCGAAGCCAATGCCGGTAGAGGAGTCTCAAGTCAGAATCGAAGGCCAATTCTTCCAGTAGAAATAGTAGTGGGGATGGTTGGTTATCGGCTCCCTTTTCCAGGCATAGAAGGGCGGCAGGAAAGGCTCCAGTGGCAGCAGCTTGTCTCGGCATTCCATGACCTTGGGAGAAAGTAGCAGAGCCGAAGTCACCAAGAGGAGGCGCAGTTTGGATATGAAGGAGGTGTTAACCAAGGAGGTGCCCACCGAGGAGATTGCACCAGTTGGTCTTGCAGCTAATGCAGCTCCAACTCGTGCAGGTGGGATGTGGAGGTCGGGGGAGGAGGAGGCTCGGAGGCAGGAGTGCAGCTTGATGTTTCCGGAAACTTGAGCTCTGCAGGGATAAGGGAGGTTGCGAGGGGGGAGGAGGAAACTGCAAGTAAAGTGCCATCAAAGTGGGGTTTTGGTTGGTGGGGTTTTGCTTCGAAAGAGGTTGACAGTGATTTAGATACATTAGCCATGATTGTGTGCTAGAGCTACAGATTTGCTAGGGCAGTCTGACTTGCATGATCAAATAGAATTTTCTCCTGTTGGGCATATCTCAATACGCATGCGTTTTTCCATCATTAAAACTGCTTTTTACAGGTTGACTATGTGCTCTTTGATTCACGTAAGTGTACTTATCTTTCCTCACAACTTGGCTTATCGGTGAAGCCAATTCAGAACTACATCGACGCCGTTCAATTCCCTGCGAAGCTGTCAAACCGCCGTCGATGACGGGCATGATATCGAGGTTTGCCGAGAGAAAACACACAGCCAGCATGCATGAAGGGTGTTTGGTAGTGACCGAGTGACAGAGCCTGGCAAGGAAAAGGGAAGAGACATCACTATCTGAACTTGAGACATCAACGCAGAACCTGACTGACTCACAGACATCGAATCAGTTTCAGGGTCTGGACTGGTCACTTCCGTCCGAGGCGGTTATATGCGGAGAGTACTACCAGCTGACCCAAAATAACGGTTCATAGCGTCCGGACCCTTTGGCTCGTGATTGCGTCCGACCCTGTGGTAAAATCGAACTGCGGGAGTCTGAATTCCATCGGTGAATCGTTCGGGAAGGACTCGCAGGATTTGCAGGATTCGCAGGATTCGCAGGACTCGCAGGACTCGCAGGACTCGCAGTAGCGATATATTGCAGGGAGTTTCGGAGCGCCTAGTTGTATGTAACCTTGGCTGACGAATCTACGGAGGCTCGTGGGTCGGCGGACGCGGTTCAGGGGGAAGCGAAGGCGGAGAGTCGAGAGGAGGAGAACACAGGGAGGCGACGCAAAAGAGAGGAGGAGAAGAGGAGGAGGAATTTGGTTTGGGGAAACGAGTCAGCAAGGAGGATGAAGGGGACCGGGAGGAGGACCACGGGGATCAAGGGGAGAGAGAAGACGAGCAAGAAGAAGAAGAAGGCCGTTCTGCAGCTGCGACAGTGGGTGACCGTATGCTTACGGGACCACTCTATCCCCTTAACTCTCTCCCTTTAATCTCTTCCCTCTTTAATTCTCCCCTCCCCCCCCCCCCCCCTAACGGTTCTGTACCCTTTGTCGTGGTATCTCTCGGCGTCTCTGCTTCTCTGCTTCTCTCTTCTTTCTTAACCCTTAACTTTCCTCTCTCTTCTCCCTCCAGGTACCAGCAGGAGGTTCTTCAGGTGGCTCTGGAGCTCAACACGAGATGGCTCTTGAGGCGACCCACGAGTCGTTTCAGTATCCGTTGTCGTGGCATTCACTGCTTCCCTGCCCTCTCTTCTCTCCTCTCTCCTCTCCTCTCTACGTTCGCCTCCTCGCCCTCCAGGTACCAGCAGGAGGTTCTTCAGGTGGCTCTGGAGCGCAACACCATTGTCTACCTGGAGACAGGCATGGGGAAGACTCTGATCGCCGTCATGCTCATGCAGGTGATTATAAAAGCGTTTCTCGATGTCTTCTTATAACGCATTTCTACTTTTGATGGGGATAGGCACGGGCAAGTCTCTAATTGACGTCATGCTTATGCAGGTGAAGCATGTTTTAGGTGCAGACAATGTCCTGATGGATGGGATGCCAACAGTGACTAATTAAACTGACATTGACTAAATCATATACTGACTTTGACTGAATAAAGCCGACATCGACTGAATCAGACTGACATTGACTGAACCGCACTGACGTTGACCGAATCAGACGGACTTTGGTTGAATCAGACTGACATTGTCTGATCTGAATGAGGCTAACAAAAACTAATTCAGACTAACTTTGACTGAATCAGACTGACATTGACTGAGTCACACCGACATTGACTAAATCAGGATGGCAGTGACTGAATCAGAGTGACATGGACTGAATACGAATGGCATCTAATGAATCAGACCGACATTGACTGAATCAGACTGACATTGATCGTTTCAGATTGACATTGACGGAATCAGACTGAATTTGCCTGAACCTGATTGACAGGGACTGAATCAAGCCGATACTTACTGCTGAATGAGACGGACTTTGACTGAATCAGACCAACTTGACTGTATTAGGATGGCATTGACTGAATCAAATTGACATGAAATGAATATGAAGGACGTTGTGTGAATCAGGTAACGTTGACTGAATCAGACTGAGAGTGACATTGACAGAATCAGAATCAGGGTGACTGAGGGTGAATAAGACTGCTACTGAGTGAATCAGGATGATATTCTGAGAGGCGCTCATGTATTCGTGGTGTATCTGCCTCGCCTGTGGTAGCTTTACACATGATCAAAGCTGGGCAACTCTCTTTCTCTCTCTTTCCGTGCTCCCATGCAGGCTCGTCGCCAGATGCGGGAGAGGAGTGGCAAGATCTGTATCTTCCTGGTTCCAGCGGTTGCTCTGGTGATTCAGGTGGGTGAAGAGTAGGGGTCAGAATGGGGCTTGAGATGGGGCCGGGAAAGCCAGACTGTTGTCTTGCGCCTCAACTTAACAAATGGGGGAGAGGAGTTGCAAGATTTGTATCTTCCAGGTTCCGGCGGTTGCTCTGATGATTCGGTGGGTGAAGGGAGACGGAGTCAGCGAGTTGGGGATAAGATGGGCCAACACGGTAGAGTGATATTTTAGGCGCCTCAAGAGTTGTGGGAGAGGAGTGGCGATCCTGTTTCCATTTCTGATGCAATCTCTTTTGCCGTTTCCATTCTTACCCCTATGGTGTTTGGTTACGTGCTAATGCCACACATGGTTGTGTGTGCTGGTTATGTGTGCTGGTACTCTTTCTCCCTTGTTCCTGTTGTGGCTTCAACTCATGTGCCTGCAGCAAGCGGCAGTGGTAGAGCAGCAGACGGACATGCGGGTGGGTAGATACAGCACGGACACAGACATCAAGTATGAAGCCACCTGGGTGCAGCGACAGGCCTCTCAGCACGAGGTGAGCACATTGTGGCGCTAGGCATGCTTATATTGGTGGAAGAATTCTGAGGCACGTCAGGAGCAGCAGACGGACATGCGGGTGGGCAGGAACAGCACCGGCAGGGGCATCAATTATGAAGACGCATGGGTGAATGTAGCGACAGGCCGCTCAGCTCAACATGAGGTATGCATGAGTTGATTCGTGAATGCCACCAGCTACAGGCTTCACTCCAAGTGCCTTGCCTGTACTTCTGCCTCACTTGTGGTCCTTTGGTCTGTCTGCTGCCCTCAGGTGCTGGTGATGACCCCCTCTCAAGTGCCAATGGAGCTCTTGAGAGCCTGCCTTCCTATCTACCCCTCCGTGTCTTTTCTCTTGTCCTGCTTTTTCTGCCCCCCCCGTCAGGTGCTGGTGATGACGCCTCAAGTGCTGGTCAATCTCCTGCAACACGCCTTCCTGTCCTTGTCTTCAGTGGACCTCTTGATCTTCGACGAGTGCCACCACACCACCAAAGACCATCCCTACGCCACTATAATGAAGGTGAGCTCAGGTGGTGGCGGGTGACTGACACCTGCAGTGCTAGCTAGTCAGTCAACCCACCAAGGACCTTCCCTACGCGACTATTATGAAGGTGAACCCGTGTTGTTGTGAAGTGAGCGGCAGTGTGCCAGACCCTTCCTGTCGATATCTTCAGTGGACCTCTTGATCTTCGATGAGGGCCACCACACCACCAAGGACCTCCCCTGTGCCACTATGATGAAGGTGAGTGCTTGTGATGAGACCTGAAGTTGCTGCTTCCCTTAGGCTAGTCTACATACCATGCGCCATCCCTACTCCACTATAACGAAGGTGGACCACGAAGGACCACCATCCGGACGCCACAAT